GATCAACATTCTGCATTGCAGCAATATGAAAATCGCCGGGATTACGGTAAAATTTGGACTTGCACTGATTTTCTGCTCTTTTGTAAAAGGAAACTGACATAAAACAAACGTCAGCTGGTTTCTAGGTTCAGTTGGAAATGGTTGTCTGCAGTTAACTAGATTTTAAATTAAGAAGCACAAAAAGCCAAATTACATTAGATAGAAAAAGAGTGGAATAACAAACTTTCAACGAACCCGAGGTGTCAGAATGTCCTCGAACCGCATTCCCTCCTATTTCTCGCAAGTCGCTAGATTGATATGTATTGCTGGGACACCTGAAACAGCATATTGATGTTTAACCAAATCGATAAGGATCATATGACAGCATACGCCCGCTTCTAACTCGTTTCATAAATCATAAACCTCAATTAAGTACAAAGTTGTTGCATACGCGCTTCAAGAAAATCCAGATAATAATCATACTGTGGGGGAGAATGAACGCCAGCTGCTCTTGCATGCATGAGTATTTACATGGAAGGAAAGTCACGACCCAGAAGTCATAGAAGTTGAGCAACAGAGCCTGCGTTGTGTCGCTGCACTTCGAACAAGCTGGTGAAAGCGGCCAGACTCTCATTGATTAATCTCCTCGAATACTCAAAAAAGACGAGAATCGATGACTTCGTGTAAGAAACCCAAAGCATATATACAACCAATACTATGCTATTGCGACTTCCGCATACAATAGGCCTATGCATCATTGCGTCACGCTACATTTCGTACATAGAAGCTACGCTCGTCCTCCAATACAGAATGTTTTAGAACTTGGCAGTTCCGAGGCTTGTTTACAAGTGGTGTTTACAAAAGTCCATAAGACCGAACAACAACAGAGGGCCCCGACACGCGATACAAAGCCGATTAGAGAACTGAAGAAGAACGATTGGCACAGTGCTGAACTTAGTTCAGCTTGTAGATGGTATAGTGGCAAGTAGCGCACTATCACGCACTTATGTTCACGGGTTCGATTCTCAGACCGATCCTCTATGCCAACCAAGCCTGTCATTCTACTAGGGTGGTTTAATTGGTGCAAGACTCGTCTGGAATGATAATAAGCATTGACTCGTACATGGGCTGGTTACCGCAAACCTTTGTATAGGCCACATCAGCATTCAAAATGCCACTACGATTCTGCATGGAAGACAAATACATGGCGCATCCTTTAGACAGGATGGATTAACGCCCAGAAACTTTAAGGTTTTACCTTATATCATCTCTAACTAAATAGTGAAAACTCTCCAAAGAAAAGCTCTAGGACAGTGACAAGGGAGTTTCCTTTCATTTGCTAAGAGACTAATCGCGGTAACTGTGCCTTCAGTTCTCTGTCATACTGCGTTTCCTTCACGTTGATTCTAACTCCATGGATCCGTACCAGGTGGTGTTTTTCGATACGCGTAGCGATTACTTGGCAGATAGGGAACGAACAACGGGAACAGCCATCCCAACCTCAATCGAACAGAATGAGCAGTGGAGGAAACATGAATCCCCCATGGCATGGTCTTTTTCTGGAGTTCTCTATTGAGCGTTTTTATTACCGACTACTCTCCAGTCCCGTCCAAGCCAAATAATAGTCATTAAAACAAGAAAAAGTGTTTAATGGTTGTTCAATTGGAAAAGTAGGATACTGGTCGAACTTAGCAAGCATCTCGACTTCCGGATTCGCTCCGTTCGATGGACAACGGTATGTGGCGTGGCGTCACCACCGCAGTATGAAATGACCCGGATCGGGCGTTACCCATCCAAATCGAACTAGATTTGTCGAAAAACATAGCCAAACATAACCGTTACATAAAAGAGGCGACCGCACGGCGCACCTGCGCATGAAGGTGTGGGCCAAGCTTTCCTTCCCACTGCAAGGTGCTCTCTGCTTATGCTATGCTTGTCTCCAGGTGTTGCGTCCCCCTCCCCAGATCGTCGTTTATGGTCATACAGCTGAAGAAACAAACAAAAAGGAGAAAAAAGGAATCGAACAGGGAAGGGGCGATAGCTCGCTTCGACAGAGATTCTAAACGTTATAAGCTAGTCTATGGACTGGCACACGTAATTGAAGGGGTGAGCTTGGTAGCCCGACTCCTACAACACAACGCAAAAGCTCGTTCTCCAACATAAACTGACTCCAATGCGCTCATGACCCTTCCTTCGATATTTTCGACTTTGAGCTTGTCCAAAAATGTTGGGGTGAGGAAGAGGGAGGTAAGGCATTAGAGCATCAACCTGGTCATTGCTATAACCTGGCACTAACGCTGATAAAGAGATCGAAAACGAGGTGAAACCATCCCTCGAGATGTGGGGCTATTCCCTATGACTGTAGCATAGGTACAAGGCATGTCGGCCATGCACCTTAACTCAGAGTCTAATATCAATGTCCGGGGGTTCACTGTTTGAGTGAAATCCTAGAAAGGGTAACCCCTTAAAAGAGCATCGAGATTGAGTTCAAATTAGTATTACTGGTACCAAATGTGACTTTTTACAAGTAATGCTATACGAGAGCTAGGACCACCATGGGCTCATACTTAAATTCATCGCTAAAGGAACGAAAAAGCACGATTTGTCAATTCTGGAAACTATTTGTTGTGTTCCCTAAGCCGAAGGAGCCCTCTGGGATTGTCTTTCAAAGGGAAAGGACTGTTCTTACAAGCTGCCCATATGCATGTTGTTCTCCTGGGAAGGTAAACATGCAGAAGATCAAGAATATGATCTTCTACAGTGTTTTTAAAGGACTTCTCCTGTCGGCGGGGTGTTGCATAGAGCCAATGTCCACCTCTGTGATGGTTGTTGGTAGATTTTTCTTCTCGATTCCGATTTACATCCATGTGAATAAGCTTTCTCAACCTAATTTTTATACTTAATCCGTGAATTCTTAAGAATCTGGCTGCAACTCGATCCAATAGGCTATTACAACTAGACAAGCACTTCTATATTGCTCACTTACAGAGCACCAATGATGAAATTTGATATTCCATTTTTTGACGGACGCTTTAACAGGACTTAGGGAATCGGAGCGCTTCAATGTAAGGCTCATAGAAATATGTCGGATTTCCTCCGCATCGAATGTACTCGTAGAATAACACCAAATGAGTGGAACACTTGAAATAAGCCTACCAAAAACATCTCTAAGCACTGTAAACATCAACACAAAAATATTCAAATACTTCGGCTGAAAAGTGAGTAGTACGGAGCTTGTCACATCAATATGTGGTCGCAAACCGGATATGGCAAGATTGAATTACCGACTCCCTTAAGTTCATTTCCTGAAGTTTCGTTCATGGAACAAGATCGACAAAATAAGGTTATCTTTGCTTACGAGTTACACCCGAAACCTAGAATACCTGGAGATTAACAAAGTTTCCCACCAGAAACAAGCATGCCCCAGCACTCCTCAGAAAGCTATAAATTCAAACAATACTAAGCGATTAGACGAGATACGAACAACAAAGGATATCAAATAAGTATAGAGCTCATTCAGTAAGTTTAAAGTAGAGAGTGACCGATATTTAACTTATAAAGTCAAGCAAAACAAGCTAGCATTCACCCACAACAGTACCCAAAACGGGCAAGTAAATAACACGAAAACATAACAAAAGCTTTCTCAACTCGAGAGTGAAGTAGCGGAGGAGAAGCGAGTGGGAAGTAGTAATTCTTTTTTAATAACCAAGGATCAGCTGGATTCGCAATGGGTCATCAATGCGGAGCGGTAGCGTCACGGCTCTGACCGGTTGCCAATCTGACCACTACCAGTGCAGATGGTCCTCACTTAGCAGGCTCGTTTATCCGCTTGGATTTTTTTCAAACTCTTTGAGCTCGACTGGTTTGCCATTTTCTTAAAGTAGGACTTCTTATTTCTTTCTAAATTTGGCTTGGACTTGCAAAAATGCACTTGTTTTTCCTCTGCCTTTACGATTTAATTCAATTTGAAATCATATATTTTAAAAGTGGGTCACAGCGGAATGTTCATGCGTACGTTTCCTATTTTGTATGTGTCCGTTGTGTAGCGACTAATCTTAAGGAAACAGGCCCAGCTTCGCTTCCGAGTCTTGTATGTGACCTAAAATGCAGTGAATGAATGGGCGTAGTGCCACTTGTAATTTGATTATCTTTGCTGTTTTTTTATGATTTTTGTTTGGGTAATGGTTAAGAAGTATTGGAAGCTCAAGTATGGGTTTGAATCCCCCGAGGCTGAAATTTGCCCCTAAAGTTTGTCCTTTAGCATGACTTCGAACAATCACCAATTCCTGCTGCTTGCTCTGAGCCATTACCAGCCTTTCATAGCACATATCATCCAAACATTAAGTCAGGTGGACGGTGACTGTTGGCGCGGGAGAGCGACTTCCCTCTTGGTTTATGGTTGGAAGTAGCTATTAGAGCCAGTTTTATCCCGACGTTGCCGTGACGCGGCGCTACGCGTGCGGCAATCGATACCGTCCATTGTAATCTGACTGGTTCCTCACTGCTATTTCCAAATCGTCAACCTTTCAGTTGTTCTAATATACAAATGTGCTACCCAACTCTTAACTTCGCTTTATCGAATTGAACAATAGCGCAGTCTGTAAAATATAAGCCATTTAGAGAACTTTCATCTGGCCTCGGAGAGTATGCGGTATTCTTTCAGCGTTTCATCTATGCGGAGCACCAGATATATGGATATTTGGGTTGACGAATATCTTGAAGGTTGATCAGCTTTGCACGATACGCCAGTATTGGTGCAGTAATTCTTAGCCTTGTGCTCACTCTTTATCGATAAGTATATTAGTTACTGTGAGATATGGCTGGAAACCACGTTTATTTTGGGTTCTGAAATGCTAATACCCTTCCCTAAATTGTTCATTGTACAGAAACGTCTATGTGATTGTCTTGCATTACAATCTTTCGTTGAAAAGACATCGTAGCGAATTGCTGGGCACTTCTGTCGGGGTTTCTCCCATTTTCTAACATAAATTTCAGTTTGAATCCCTTCGAATCCCTCTACTATGGAGGACGATGATGGATCCTCGGTCGATAGAAGCAATGATAATGAACCCGAGAGTAAACCAGAACCCATCAAGGGATTCAAACTCATAAAGGTAGCCATCGAATGTCTTGAGCCCAACGATGTTATTTTTTTCGTATAATATTTGATTAAGTTGGAGCCCATCGATGATTATGAAGAAGACAGTGATTCGACGCCACCGTCACCTCGTGTGAAACACAAACGTCAATGCGCCGAAGTTGCAATGAAACGAATCAAACTGGAAATCCAACCTGGGCAATCTGATATTTCTAAGGTTGGATCTCAGAATCGTTTACTTTACTTTTGTTTGTATACGGGAGACGCTATTAGTGTTTCTCAACTTCTTTGACTGACTACACCATTTTTACTCAAAAGCTTTTTTGATTGTGTAAGTAGTTCTCTAAACAAGGCTCGCCGGGTAACTCCGACCGGTATGTCTTACGGCGACGCAGTCAAGTAGCTCAAATGTTCAGTCATTTCAAGTGACGATACAACTAGTCTAGAATAGCGTCGTTATGCGAGCGAAACGAGTATAATAGCATACATCCGAATCTGAACTAACCGCTTTGTTTTGTGAGAGCCGCATCAGTTGGACTACGGAGAAGCTTTGAAAGCATTTGTTAACTCTAATCTGGAATAAATTCATCGAAATCTTGCATACCTGACGAGGCACTTCGATCTTCTTCTGCAATTTTTCTTTGTTTCATGTTGATGCGTGGGTACGTTTTGGATATTGTCTTTTCAGGACAAGAGAAATGGCGCTGAATCACGCGAAGGATCTTGTGATCGAAGCGACTGTGCTCTCCAGAAGACATGTTCTCTAGCTATCAATCCAAAGTAAGTCACGTTTTATCGCACAATCTCGCTTTTCGAAGCATCTTTAATTTGAATGACCTGTTTGTCAGCTGTCTACAAACGCTTACGGATGCATGTGGAAAGAACTTCTATCATATCACGAAGGGCGAGCATGTTTGTTCAGTATGCTACGACGATATTTGGAAGTAGTGAGTATATATTTTATTGCAATACTTAGTAATTCGTTCGAAATAATTATTGTTCTCTGTATTCATGTGACTGGTCCATGACCAGAATCTGCTCCTGCTCTCGTCTTAGCGTGAACGTCAGCTCTTGCAAAGTTAGCTTTCCAATTTGATTATACAACTTGTAAAAGTGTTTGATTGCAGTGGTCACAAGTACTGTCAGCAATTTGCTGATTGGAAAGTGGTTTGGTGCAAAATGAGTCGTTGCTTCCCCACTCCCCGGTTTTTCGTTCAGGTATATATGCGCATTTATTTTCTTTACTCATTCCTCTAAAGTTCTGGCATTTGTCTGGAAGTATATGTGAAGTTCTCTTTCAGGACCAGCTGCTTCCGTACTGGCTAGAGTGCCCTCTGTGTCACAGATTTCGAAAGTTAGATCTAGAACCGACAGTTGTGATTTCGACTGAAGAGATTAAGAATTTTCGCTGTGTCGAATGTAATGTTCCCGAAGATAAGGTATTNTTCCTTTAACTTCATTAGCCTTTTTTATAGCACTACTTTTTCTTGTTAAGTTAGCTATTGATGCACGTAACCCTAACTGGATCCTATCGGCATCGGTTGCTCCATTGTTGCACAATTCACCCTCGTTGTACTATCTCCGGGACCATTATTATCTAGACGAAGTGGGACTCAGTCCTGCAGTTGCCAGTTACACTGGAGAAGAGAGTGAGTTCCTTCTCTTACATTCAGTCATCGGCTAGGTCGAAAGCCGCTACGAAAGGTAATCCAACTTCCAGTGTGCTCAATATGACATAATCCAAGCCGTCGTTCAGTCTGCAGTAATCGTTTCCTTAATGTGCCGTGTTTCATATATTGACTTGCCTAGATTTTTGATGATTCGTGCACCTTTCCGGTAATGACTAAGACAGTTTACGACGTATTCTGGTCTCTGATATACTTCCGCATCGTAAAAACGCCTCTTATTTTGCATGTTTTATTTCTTCACTTTGCGAATGCAAGACGGAAATTGAATAACGAACCTTTCTTTGTTGTTATCTTTCTTTTTATAACTAGTTTTCCTGCAGAACTCCCATCATCGTCATTTATGGCACCATTCCACATACCTGAAGAACCGATGGCATTTTGCGTACGTCCAGATGTAATGGAGCATGACGAATTGGTAAGGAAGATGGTATCAAATCGAGAGATCCGTGCTGTAAATGTTGCGCTAATAATATTTCTGTTCAGAGACGGTTTCCTCAGTATTCTGCTGAGCCCATTATATATCTTGGTCTTCGAAACTTAGTAATTACTCTGTGGAATATGAATCCATTTGTAAGTGATTCGTTTTTTTTCTATAGCCTTGTGTCTGATTGGTTTCGAATGGTTTAAGGAATACCTTACGTTTGACCACTGTAAACAGCACCTAATTTCTCGCGGTCTGTCCCGAGTTTGGCAGATACAGGAATTGAGGAAGATTTATGATTATCTGAACGTCAAGGCTATAGTCAATATAGGTCTTCTCACGATACATTCACCTCTCTCATATAGAACCAGGGTAAGACGGTTTTTCTTTACTTTTTCCTTTGTAGTTGAGGTGAAATATGTATTGTAGATTCTTGAATGTATTGCTTTACATTTAGCGCTCAGCAAATGTGCTTATAATTGGTGCTGGGATCAGTGGGCTAGCTGCTGCCCGACAACTTCACTCTCTGGGAACAAAAGTGACTATTTTGGAGGCGAAAGATCGTCCTGGCGGCAGGATGCAGGTGATATATTTTTGCCCTAGCCGTTCCTCAAAAAGTGAAAAATTTTTTCAGGACGACTTGAGTCTGGGGATTCCAGTAGGATGTGGTGCGCAACTAATTACTGGCATAATGAACAATCCTATTGTTGTAATGTGTCACCAGGTAGGGAATGATTTGTTTTTATGACTGGTTCATTTGTTTTTTCATTAACTTCTACTGGATTACTTGTATTCTTTTACAGGCTAATATCCCCTACCGCCCTCTTCACCGTGAATGTGCTATGATGGATTCGGCAACGGGGAAAGTTATGAATCATAAGGTTTGTTTCTTTGCAATAATTTTGTAGCAACATTTCCAGAAGTGATTCAAATATTGGCTTTTTGTTCAAAATGGATAGTAAACGGATAAGTGATCGTGCCTTTGTGAGTAGACATACCGAATTTCTTTTCAACATTTTGGTTGCTGTTTTCCTATGTACAATTCCGATTTCGATTCAGCTATGGTTTGAAAGTAAAGATTTTATCTGTATTTTTTTGCAGGCTGATAGGATTGCTGATGAACACTGGAATTGTATCCACGATATACTTGGGCATTGGCGCTCACGTATCAAGGGGCCGGATCATAGCCTCATGGGTAAGTTAAGTGTAAGAATGCGTTTTTGTTCATTCAAATCACACACACGCACACATACATACTCAATGCTGTGTATTTTTACACAGAAATAGTTAAAACCATTGAATAGGGAAGACCTTTTGTTCACTCATAATATCGTTTTCGGTAGCACTATTGTTAAAGCTTTACAAACACAGTTAATAGGACTCATGGCGGTGCATATTACGAAAAAATTCTGGGTGGCATCAATTTCGAAGTGTCACATAGAGTCTCCGCTTGCAGGAGTGGTAAGTTAGAAATTTTTGAGTTTTCGGAAAAAGCACCTTACCACAATGATCAAATTCAATCTGGATCAAAGATGACTGTCGTAATCTTATTCTGGAAGGTAAATCATTACCGTTTTTCTAAGCTTTTTCCATTTTTTTCAATTTTCCTAGCTTTTTTGTGCATTTCCTTCGAACAGTGATGCTAATGGGACGACTCCCCAAGTATTTTTGTTCTTGACATTGTTTGAAGAAGGAGAGTTTTTTTCATCTCAACTCGTTTTTGACGGATCGCGCGTAAACATCTTAAAGAAATATATAACCGACTTTCAACGAACAGGTTAAGTTGCTTTTCCTTACAATGTGAAAAAAAACCGGCTGCATATTCCAAGTTCCTACACCCATTTCGGTCCCTTACTGTGGCCAATTTCTTCTACTCGGGCCATACTAGTGCACCCCCTCGTCCCTTTAATTCTGAGAACGTATTGATTTTCGCAATTTCCTTCTCTGTCTCTCGCAATAACGCACAAGGTTTAGGACTTGTCAATTTTTCCAGATTAATGTGCATTGTTAGCCATTGAGAAGTTGAAACGACCGGGTAATGTTCGGAGCTGGGAGAATTACACGCTTTCTGTGATCTTTTGATGTCTTTCAATGGCTAAACCTGTCTGCTACTGAAATGTTCTGTGGCTGCACTCAGTGACGAACCGGTCTGTAGGTACATTATTGTCGCCAGTGTTGAAATTTTTGCTCTCTCCGCTTTTGGGTACTCACCAGCGCGCTATTGCTCTGCGTAGAGAAGCCTAGCTAATAGGTCGTTATTAGAGCAGAGATAGTACCTACGAACTTTTGGTTATTTAGTTGTTCTTCCAGGACAACTGAGAAAGCGCATTTTTCCTTCAGCACTTTACGCTCTCCGATTTGTCAGCGTCTTGTGCTGATGCGAATTAGAGAACCATTGCACACATTTTTCTGGGCGATGTGATTGCTCTCCTGAAGCCGCCGCGTTTTGTATACCTTATCAGTGGGAGGGCAGTCCTGCTAATCACCAATACAAATGATTGGTGGCACGGACGCCTTTCTTTTCGTTTTCCGTTTTGTTTTGTAATAGTTTTATTGTTCGTTTTTTTTTCTTGTCCCGTCGTTGGAAACTAGATTTCATGTGGAGATTTATGATTTGTTCGCCATTCTCCGTTTGTTTTCTGGTTTTATCTCGTACTACTGTCGCAAATTTTCCATATCGACCATTTATTTTATTTTACCTCTGAGACTCTTCCAGAGGTAAGATGGGAATGCCGCGTCGCCCCGAGCAACGAAGGAAGAAAAGTGGAAGCGGTATCCTTGGGTCACTAAATCTAAACAGGTTTCTTGGAGCTCCAGGAGCTTCTACGTTTGATTTAGCCATGGTTGCTATTGCATCGATAGTTTCAACCGTTCTTTTCATGAGGTTTTTCGCCAGCACGCCCATGCCAATCCAGCAATCACAAACGGCACGTTTGCTTTCGTGATTCGGCTGAGTCTTCATAAAAAGACCATATTGCTCCAGATGAACGGCTTCATTTTTCCCTTCCAGGATCCAGACTACAACCATAGTCAGATTCACAATACGAGAACATTGAAAGATGGGACCGTAGAGATCGATTTGCTGGCAGTAACTGATCTTGATCATGATAGCAAAGTTTCTAACAAAAAGTGGACCAGTTTTGCAAAATACGGTGTATTGCGAATCAGTCCCGACCATGCCAAAGTTTCAGTCACGTGGAAGGCCAACTCGGATTTCTCCCTAAGCACGTAAGTGTAATTTTTTTGTTGCCTGTTGTTGTGTAGTAAATTAAGATCTATAATCGGAGAATATTCAGTCAAATTTCATCCGGTGGGCGCGCAATGGAGCTTTCCGACCTTGTTGTTTTTGACGGACGACTGCTTGTTGGAGATGACAGAACTGGCCTGATTTATGAAATTCGGGATGGCAAGGTATGTGCCTTCGTCCCCTATTTAATGAATTTTTTTCTATCATTGCATATATTTACTTTTTCAACTAACCACAACTCTTCTGGTGAGTGGGTTTTTGATATTAGCGGAACTTTTTTCTAACCTCGAACCTCAAGAGACGCATTAGTTCGGAGGAGCCGTGATTCAGGTGCAACAATCTCGGTGTTTAAGGCTTTTCCTTGGATTTTCCTGAATGATGGACCTGGAAACACTAGCAAAGGGTTAAAGGTTGAATGGCTTACCGTGAAAGATGACCACCTTTATGCTGGCGGATTGGGAAAGGTGGTATTTCTTGTTCAGCCAATGATTTTCGTAAGAAGCAGTGAATAAACCACTGGCTTTTTTAGGAGTGGACGACTACCGAAGGTGAATACGTCAATGATAATCCGATGTGGATAAAAGTGATATCTCGTAAAGGAGAGGTAAGAGATCTTTATGGGGTTTCATCACCTCTTTTATTAGTTCCCTATATTGCAAATTGAACGCAAGTTTTCACCCCTCTGTGCCTGCCATATGACATTTATGGAGACCAGTGTGCCATCGCCTCAGACATAAGTGCACACAGATGATTAGTTTTCTCGCTTATCTTTATTTTTTCGATCTTGTCAATAATTAACTCATAGATCAGTTTTTATGAAATGATAATATGAGATAATGAGGCAATATTCCATAAATTTCGTAATGCTAAAATTATCAAGATTGGCTAACAAGACGGATATGGGTTCTTGAGAAAAATAGTATCCATCAGATGTAGTGAGTGATAGAGCATTTTTTTGATCAGTGTTGTTAACACACACTTCTTCACCTCAAGTCTTTTCAAAGTCGCAGATTTTTGTTCGATATTTTAAAACGAGCTATAAAAATAAATTGTCACTGCCACTGTATACGATTTCTAGCAAAAAAAATTATTATTATCAGTCAGAGGGTTTCCTGCTGAAACCATTTGGTTTTTTTCAAACAGTATCGCACTTGACGGGAGTAAAGGTCGCCTCACGTGAGGAAAAGATTAGATAACGTGCTGTCGCGAAGTTTTGAACTCATGTCGGTAAATGTCAACGTGGGCAATGGGTTGAAAGAGCAGTGTGCTTGCGGGTGTCAGATGGCTGAAAAAAAGCAGCAGGCTGAAAAATCGCAGTTGCTCGCACAGTAATTTTATTATAATTTTCCTGGCTCTTCCTATACGAATGTGCTTTGAGCATTGTTCGCTAATGGGAGAGTTCTAGAACATCACTTATCATGAACGTCTCGAATATATTTTTACATTAGCATTTTTAATTTATCCCTCATCATATCATCCTTATTTAATTATTCTGAAAGGTAGTGAAATCACAGCCATACTATTATACCAACCACTACATTGGTTCATTCTACAGGTCAAATTAATAAGTTATTAGATCCTTTGATCAGTTAAGCTGATATTTATGGGAGAGTTCTCGGATGTTACCAATAATCTATATTAAATATTTATTTTTGTGAAGATCAGGCACGTAAACTGGCGCGACGTTTTCATCAGTGTTCGGCGTGCTGCAGGAATTGAGTATCCTGGGTACATGATTCATGAAGCTGTGCAATGGTCCAATATTCATCAGAAATGGTTTTTCCTTCCAAGGAGAGCTTCTAAAGAGAAGTATACTGAAGCAGAAGATGAAACTAGGTGAGTCAAGTCGATTTCGCATATATTACGAAAGCACCTACTAATAGATATGCCATGATTTTTGCAGAGGCACCAATCTGCTTATCATTGGCGACTCATCATTGACTTCCTTCAAGGTCATTCATGTGGGTGAACTGACCAATCCTGCTCGGGGCTTTTCGGCATTTCAGTTCATCCCTGGCACTGAGGATAAACTCATCATTGCCTTGAAGTCTGAAGAAAAAGACGGCAAGCCGGTTGCCAGCTACGTGACTGTATTTGACATTGATGGGAAGATAATTTTGCCAGATACCTCTCTACAGGATCCTCACAAGTTTGAAGGCATTGCATTTGTTTGATCACATCAGAGATCTGTACTAACTTTATTATTATAGATTGAGACTCGTTTGAACGCATTTCTTGTTGTTAGATTGACCAATTTTCAAAGTGCCTGTTGCTACACTGTGATCTGCGAGGTTTTGATTTGTTAGGTTGTGATAAACTAAAACTTGCTCCAATAAATATTTGATACCAGTGTCCTCGTTACAGCTTAACACAAAACCCTTACTAGTTCAACCATTTCTGCTAATCTTGATTTTCATCGTTTTTATATATTGATTTCAGATCAGATCAATATTGCACATAAGAAGCTCGTCAAAGGAACTCGACTGAAATGGGGTGATGCCTATGAGCGAGCATTTCAGTTCAATCTGGGTAATGCTGAATTCAGCTGTGGAGCCAAACTGAACGATGTAAGTTTTCTAAATTGGACGTTTTCTCTCCTGTTTTTGGGTTTGTCTAGTGATATGAAGTATTCATCTTGTTCTTAAATTATTTTGCATTGCTAGGATGTAAGTAGTTGGTATCCAATTTGTTTTTAGGTGTCGTGGAGAAATTGGGATCAAAATGAGGCTGTAAATCAATTTGCGGGAGCGCACGCACTCCTTAGTGACGGATGTGTGGATCTTATTGACCGTTTGGCGGATGGTCTCGACATTCGTTACGATCATGAGGTACACTTCGATTGATGTGTACCCTGGTACAGTCTTCAGTGGAGTATGTGAAAATTCACCGAAATGGCCTTCTTAAACCTTCCGTTAAGGTTACGTTGGTTGAATGGCTTCGAGGGAAAAAATCGGTAACGGTGAGCTGTCGAAATGGCAAGAAATTCAACGCAGATAAGGTAAGGCTTTGAATTTGTTTCTTCAAGTTCCTTTTGTTTTGAATCTCGGGTCTGGAGGGTTCCTATGCACAAGAGATAAGAGAACTGGTCAGTGACAAAAAGTGTTTACAATTAATTAGGGCTGATAAGGGGGATAGTTCCTTCACATTAGAGTAGAATCAGACCGCCTTTGTGTTGAGTGCAGGGGAGATGTTTGAAGAAGGGATCTAGATCTTGATTTTGAAAAAGAGATCACCAGAAAAGTATCTCGTCTACTATGCAGTTCTAATCTTTCTACTAAGTAGCCAACTCTTGGGTTTATTTCAGGTGCTGTTGGCTTTACCACTAGCAGTTCTCCAGAAGCACAGGGTTAGATTCAATCCGAAACTTCCGGATAAGAAGACTAGAGCGATGAAGTACATCGGAGCAGGACTTATCGAAAAGGTTTTTTGCTTTTCCTTTGTAAAATTGCTCAATAGCTTGCAAGATGGTTCGTTTTTCTTCCAGGTAGCTGTCCGCTTCCCGCGTTGTTTTTGGAATTCGCTTTTGAAGAAGGATGGCACACTCGACTATTTCAGTCATGCTCCCCGAAAGAGTAGCGAGCGAGGTCTTTTCAACATGTTTTATGATTTCTCTCGCAGGGTAAGTGTTCTCCAAAATGGGGGAATTGGTTGTTTACTACTTGCATGCATAAGTTCAGGATGAAAATGGAGTGGCACCATTCTACGTCCTAATGTCGTATGTTTGTGGTGATTCTGTCGACATTGTGAATAAGTACAGCGACGAAGAGGTGGCCCAAATGTTTGTCAACACTTTGAAACAGTTGTTCCCAAAAGAGGTATGAAAAAGTCACCGTTGCAGCTGAGGTAGCGTTCTTGCCTACAATATCTAAATAATAACAATTAAGGATATACCGGAGCCAGATGGAGCCGTGGTAACACATTGGGGAAGGGATCCCCACATTGGTATGGCTTACAGTTATGTTCGTATAGGTGGAACTGGAGCACATTACGATGATTTGGCAGCTCCAGTAGATGCAAAGTTATACTTCGCTGGAGAGGTAAGAATTAAGATCTAGTCACCATCCGTGTATTAATCTGAAGTACAGCTTGTGAAAGGCGACATTTCTTCCTTCAATGGTGTGGTATCGCTCCATGCCTTTTAATCAGTTCTGCCCTCAATGGAGTATCAGCTTAGCTATTCCTTGCATGCTCCACTCCTCTTCCATATAAAGTCTGGTTAATGCTTCGGGGAAAAGTTGTACCGAGCGGATCCATAACAATAGATTATATGGATAGAGGAAAGATTGGACGTTGGTTCTGCGGTCATGTTTGTTTGAGAGAAATCTTGCTCAACAGGCTAGGCTAGAAAGATTCAAAAGACATCATTGCGAGAGATTTCTTTTCCTAAGCTCCTCAATCAATCACCCTTCACCTGCCCTTAATCTTCCTCGTGTGGGATGCCTCGAGTGTAGTATGTCGCTCCAGACTTTCGAAACATACTCGGAAAGGGGCTGGGGGTCATTTGTCAGAGCGTGGTCATGTTTGCAAGATGGATGCGCTAGAGTTTCATCTGGAAGTCTTCGGCTTTTTCTGATTTTCTTTAATCGGGGGGCCGGCAGGGGGTATAGAAAAAAGCTCGAAAAAGTGAAGTTGAATAGCGGAAACTTTTTATTGTGGGGATGGAAGTCAGCTATTGATGGTGTTCATTAGTTCGTTGGTACTGTCAGGCGCTATTGCGTCGCCTTACGTGTCTCTAATTTTACGTATATTTGAGGATCTCTCAATGAAACGTAGTTTTGTTTCAGCTGAGGTTTTTCAATTGATCCAAAAAGTTTTTCTCAGAAATTATAAACCTTAGTAGTATTTTGGAATACACGAAACCATTTCTCCGCCAAATTTTCCGCACGATTTTTGTTTTTCTTTTTCTTTCTGAAGTGGATTTCCAAAACACTTTGGTGAGAATATGCATAAGGAATTCTGGAAGGGGTTCTTCTTCAGAGTAGGGAGAAGAGGAATATATGTAGAAGTGTATTAGGTGGAAGAATGTGGAAATAGAAAGATTAAAGAAGATGCAAAGAACGAAGAGATGTGGAGGGTAGGGGAGTTAGTCGACTTTAGTTTCTCGAAGTCGAATCCCGCTGATATTTTGTAAACTGATTTTCAAGAGAGAACTTTCCTAGAACACATGATTTTCCGAGGAAAATTTTAAGATTTTCAGTGCACAAATCGTTTCTTTCCACAAACAATGACGGGCGCTTACATCAGTGGACTTCGTGAAGCAGGACGTATCTGGGAATCTTCCCATAATGAAATATGGCTTGACTAAGTCAAAAACTCTTTTTTTAAATGCTAAGCTAAACGTTTTGCAAACTTCAGCAAGGACAACATGAAGGCTAATCGGTGGTACATCATTCCGTGCATTTGAAGACAGTGGTCATAATTTACTTTCTTTCCTTTCTTTATTAAATATATGTTTCGGGAAAAAATTTAGTGGTTTTTGAGAAGGTAGAAGCTCGGGACTTTTAAAAAGGTTTTTCATTTAAATGATTGACAGTTAGGGCCTACCACAATCGACTAAGCACTGAACCAGGTTCATGGAGTAAGCATTTATTTGAGGAAAATCGGTATAAAACTTTTTTTTAGAAAAGGTAACTTAAGGTTTTGTTTTCGTTTATTGTAATGCATATTATGCTTGTGAATTTTCCGATTCGTTTTCTTTCTAGTACAACTTTCTGAACTTTGTTGTGAGTTTATGATTCGGAGTTGTAGCCAAATACCGCAGCTAACCTCATGTTACTGCCGATGTTCCAAATGTGCTTGAAGCTAACATTTGTCTTTTCGTATTTATTTAACTATTTGACTGTCACCATTTTAAATGCGATGTGTATCACGGGCCCGTTCACACTACATATTAGCGTACATCGCTGCCGGATATCAAGCGTGCGGTAGCGAACCTTTCTCTAGGTCACTTTTTGATTTCCATCTCTGCAAGGGCGAAAAATCATAGTGACCAAGGAATCTTTGTTGAATGTTGTCCTCCGTCCTCTCAAATTCGTCCGGTTTAAGTACAAAAGCACGAGGAAATCTTGGAAAAAAACTGCTAGGGGGAGGGTAGGTCAAAATGCCCATAAGTCTATAAAGAATTTCCAAGCAGTCATCTACCGCTACCTTGGAATGCTCAGCGAAATATTTCCCATTTCTTCTAGAATGACTAAATAATGAGGAAACTTAAAGTGAGTCCTCTTAAATATGTGTGACTGTGCCCGTTACCGTGCTGTTTTCCATTGTCGCCAAACAGTCGATTGGTTTACAAAAGTGTTGAACGTACTTTAATATTCATTATTCAATTAGTATTGTTCGCTGAACTCTGCATGATCTCACATTTGCCCGAATGTTTTTGACTATTCAATAGCAGTAATAAATGCATTTTACTACTCTGATTCGTTTCCTATCAATTTAGTTTCTGAATTTTTTTGATACATCCGACAGAAAGAGGACAGAAATTCAGTTCCTGGAACTGCAGCCTCCGTTTGAACTCTGTATAGGTACATATATGTGGCTGTAGCAACGATATGAGACGTTACTACAAGTTGGTAAGCTTTAGAGTAATATCCAAGGCCGGCGACCTCTTGGAGAAGAAAGGAATGATGAAGATTCATGTAGCCAGTACTCTAGTATGCCAACCTACAGTAATCATCCATCGAAATAGCAAAATAGGTCAGTGAAAAGTTACGGTAATCGTGAGTCTTTTAAGTGTTTTGTATTAGTTGGAATCGTATCTGAATAAGGTAACATTCAAGTGTTTCCTCTTTTTTTCAGGCCCTGAGGAATGTGGTAGTGCTGAGTATTGGCCAGTAAATCATTGCTGTTGATCTTGTTCTTCAGCTAATCAATACCGTAAGTGCGTAACTTACTGGTTAGTTGCAATCTATCACCTTGACGAGGAAGTTCGTCAACAAAAAAAAGCCCATTTTGAATTCATTTTTAGAAATTTCCGAAATACTCGAATATCAAATATACATTTATAAGAAAATTTATATGCCTCCTCCCATCTTTTGAGCATATCACTTATGTCTTTGGTTCAGAAGTCTGGTGGCTCAAGCAAGTAGCTGACTGCTGTTTTCTGAGCATAATAAGTTATTAACCTTTTCCCAACTATGTTATGCTTGAGAAGGAGGAGCTCATTCGGCAACTTCCCAGGAGTACAGCTGTTAAGCAACCTGGAACCAGGCAGGCCGGTGGATTGGGTTCTGAAATGAAATACCCACGTGCACTGTCGATGATACTGTAAGTGGTACTTTCTTTTCAACCTAATATTACATTTCCATTCCATTTGGAAGCCTAGTGGCCTATTGAGTGCGTATGGGGCCTATACAATTACTTTTAGTGGCCAGACTAAAATGCACATGTCAGTCAGTTTGGTCGATAGAATGGTACTAAACCCATCTGGGAGGAAAAGTACTCTCACATAAGTATAGTACCATTCTATCGACCTTAAGGAATAGAATGCGAAAGTTACCTGGGGCAGGTATCAATCTAAGCTTTGGTCCTCGGCCCAAGCTTGTGTGAGAATGCACTACTTGGTACTACGTCACCTCGGCATGCTGGAGAAGGTGGCTCTAACTTACTATGATCAAAGCATGAATTCTCAATCAGTTGATATACTATTTTTTGTGGTGGAGGTAAGTTTGACACAGATTCCCTCTTTTGCGAGATATTTTTCATAAAATCAATGAAGATTTTATATCACTTGTTTACCACAAGGGCTTTGTTTACTTCTGCGGATACTGATGATTGCGCGAAAAAGTCCAATGCGTTCTGGTTCATTTTTCAATTCCTAAATCCAGACTGTAGTCGACTGGATGTCTTTCGCCTTATTATGTTTCTTACTTCACTTCTGCGCTGCTTCACTTCTAGCATACTGCAATTCAAAAAAGAAAAAACCGAAGGTCAGGTTTTTTTTAGAATATTTTCCCCCTACTCCACTTTGACACGAGGCTCCTACTGGTTTTCTTCGGCTGTCCAGAGGCTTTGTGATAACCAGCAATTCAGAGAGTTTCACATAGTGGCGCGAGTAAGAGCAGTGTTTCTAAGGATCGGGCTCGGTCTAGACGTGTCTAGAAAACAATTCAAGAGACGTCCGAAGCAAGGGATGGCGTGGGTAACGGAAATTTTCCCCGAATTCCCAGGGCATGCGGCAGTGGTTCCGCGGCGACTCTCCGTATCCTTCCATTGGGAAGCCGGGAAGCCGTTCGAAGAGAAGATCGCAGACTCGGATGGCGGAGTCACTAGCCTGTGTTTCAGTCCTATCCGGTATTCAAGGAGAGAACTACGGCCTATTTACTGTAAGAACCCGATTTCGTTTCTGTTTGTTCGGTCGGACCTCCAAGTGGGGCAAACGCTGTAGTATGAAAAGCTTTCCATATGAAAACAGTTAATTCCCCTTCTCTTTCATGCAGCTCCTCTTTCATACCAGGAAATCCGGTCCCCCTACCCGTCTGCTGGTGGTGTTGCGTTTTCTTCTTCCTTCCACTTTCAGTTTCACGAAGTCTTCATTCTGCCAAGAACGGAGACTTCATGAAAATGACTGCTACTTCCGCTACTACTGAGATTCACCATTATATCTTTTTTATCATCCTCTTATCACAATGATGATACCCCTTCCCCTATCAACTCATCCCAAGGTTTTCCTTCTGAAGAGAGGTAATCCACGTAGCGAACAAATAGCTCTTCTGATATATAACGCTGTCCTTAATTGCTTCATTTCAGCCTGGTAAACCTGAAGGCGAAGAGAAGAAGACCGACGAATCCAAGAATAGCCCGGAAATCCCTGTAGATGTGTGTTTGCGTTGATTTTTCTGTTTACCAACATTATATCTTGTGCACGTTGCATTATTAGAGGAAGCTGTTTAAAATACCTAAGTATTCTCTGAAAAGCGGTAACCTACGAAAAACTACCCAGAGTAAAAACATTTGTCAATTTACATAACCGTTCGCTTTACCTTGGAAGCTTCTCACAACTCAGAATCATGTAATAAAAACAAATATGGAGTAAACGATTGACATTAAGAAGCTGCAAAAGGGTGCTGAATGAGTGGGGGACCATTTCTTCAAAGAGCATTTCAGTTTGAGTCATGGGCAACTAAGTCAAGGACTGGCTGTCGGAGTTGCATCAGATCTGAAACATTGGGTCACAAGGCGGCTAAGCACGCTATTGCGTGCGCTAGGGGCTCTAACCAAAGGACGGAACCATATGAGCTTCTGATTTTCATTACAGAACTTTATCATCTGAGCCTCTTCCCTGACACCTCTGTAGCGGCCATCGTTTTTTTGGGAAGTG